CTATCATTCAGCGTAAGGTGGTTTAATTTCCAAGTCCGGGCTGGGGATTCGAACCCGCCACCTTAGGTGTACGTGGCTGGCGCCTTAGCCGGTTGAGCTATAGGCGCCGAGCCAACTTTAATTTTCAAACATAATCCTAGTGGAAAAAATGTGCTTTATTTATCTAATACCATAGAGTCTTATCTTGCAGGAGAATTTGTGTTTATCTTAAATTTTCTTTAAGAAGCCAATCAAATTTTGGCTTACTATCCCCCTGCACTGTTAGTATCATTTGTTGTGCTCTAATGTATATATTATTTTAACGCTCATTTTAAAAATCTTTTATGTTTTTAAATACATTAAGATATGCTAAAAACTGATTTAGGCAGTGAACAACATATTTATTTTTAACAGCTCAAAGAATTTAACTTCTCAACCTGTTAGACTTTTTAAACTGTCACTAAAGCCTTCTAAAGGTTAGATAATTGTTGAAACCCATTTGCTTCTTGAAACCCTCTAAGTATGACTCATTGAAAAAGTATGGAAGAAAGCACTTTGTTATTTGACTCATATACTAAATTATCATTTATAGATGATAATTAACAAAACATTCCCTAGAGTTGCCCTTCCCAACTATACTATTCTCTGAAGAGTGAACTCTACTGTTTTCCTAAAATCAAAATCAGGAGCTTAAGAAGATATTATTCAGGTAAATTATAAAGACACACCCATAGCACCAATTCTTACTTTTCAGTAGGTAAAAACTCTCAAATCATATATTCCATGGCTGATAAACAGTGTCCTGCATTATAAAATAATTAAGTTTCCTTTTAAAACTATGAATCCACTAATTGTTTGTAACCCCAAATTAATCTGATGTAAAAATGAGACCCTCTAGATCTGTTAATACTTTTATGTGCAATAAACCCTTCATGTTTTCCTGTCCAAAAAAAAAAAAACAACTATGATTCATACCTGTATATACATCCCATATTTTGATACGCCCATTGTTTAATCCCGTGGCAAGGAGTAGCTGATCTTGTCCAAATCTGAATCGATGCCATTCTATATTTACACAGCGACTCTGTTTTTCTGGAACTGAAGACCCAAAAGCAAGACTCCAGACAATATCTCCACAGTCTATAATATGTTCGCAAGGTTTATTTTTCTGGCCACCATCACTACTTTGCCTTGACAATCTTAAACTGCTTGAATTCGTAACATTCTTGGTGCCATGCAAGAGACTGGGGGGAAAAGTCAGATTAAAGCTGTGTTATTATTTATTCTGTTATCCTTCTGGTTACTGAATAATTATGAATGTTTGTAAAAACAATCAATATAATTACAATACTAAATAACAACAGAATCCTATAGATGGGAAGGGGAAAAGTTGCTACTTGAACCATGAGAGAAGAATCAAATACATTTAGGTCATTAACAGAAATTCTTAGTGGATGAGAAAAAGTTCAACAATAAAGCAATTTATAATCTAACCACCTCCCAAATCTTCCCTCAAAACCATTGTATCAATAGGAACTCCTTCAAGCCAAAAGCAAAAATATGATAAACTTTTTAAAACCAAGTAACTTAATATAGTGTCAGGCTGATCTCAGAAGATTACCTTTAAAAAAAAAAAAAAACCATAAGGCCAGGCACAGCGGCTCATGCCTGTAATCCTAGCACTCTGAGAGGCTGAGGTGGTGGATCTCTTGAGCTCAAGAGTTCAAGACCGGGTGGTGCCTGTAGCTCAAGCAGCTAGGGCTCCAGCCACATATACCTTAGCTGGAGGGTTCAAATCCAACCCGGGCCTGCCAAACAATGACAACTACATCCAAAAACTGGTGGGGCCTTATGGCGGGCGCCTGTAGTCCTAGCTACTTGGGAGACGGAGGCAAGAGAATTGCATAAGCCTAGGAGTTAGAGGTTGCTGTGAGCTGCAACGCTATAGCACTCTATCCAAGGTGACAGCTTGAGGCTCTGTCTCAAAAAAAGAAAAAAAAAAAATTGAGGCAAGGGGATTGCTTGAGCTGAAGAGTCTGAGGTTGCTGTGAGCTAAGAGGACACCGTGGCACTTAGGCTCAGCACCTGAGGCTCAAGCGGCTAAGGCGCCAGCCACATTCACCTGAGCTGGCAGGTTCAAATCCAGCCTGGCCCACCAAACAACGATGGCTACAACCAAAAAATAGTTAGGAGTTGTGGCGGGCGCC